ATTTCAAATGGGGTAAAGGAAAAAGAGAGGCTTTATCTCCACTAGAGGCTCATAAGAATACATCATTCCATAAACATATTGTTAGAAAAAAGTTCCTACGAAAGAAATGAAAATAAAATAAAGCAAGTAAATACAGTAAAAAGTCTGAAGTGTGGTATCACTGTTTTTAAGGGTAATTTCACCTTTTCGGAATACACGACTTTGTGTAAAAGAATTGTAGCAGTTATCCTTCAAGATTCAAAAATCAATTACTTATAGTTTACACAAACTAATAAGGGATAGCAGGAACAGTAAAAAGATTTTTTCTCAAAAAATAAAACCTAGTAGGAAAGGAATGAAAATAGAAAAATAGTATGCAAAGAAACTTGATAGGAGAGTAGTATGAGAAGCCTTGCTTGGTGCGTGTTGTAACTGAGGTAGGGAGGTTGTATTTATAGGCAAAGGATGAAGTGAATGTTGCAACAAATCAAGGGAGGTTTTGAATCTAATTCATTCAAAGGTTGAGAAAGCTTAAAAAAAAAATAAATTAAAGCTAAGGTATAAAAATTAACCTGAACATAGCCGACGTGTATATTTGTGCACAAAAGAAGAAATTTGAATTTTTTCAAAACTTAGTCCAATCTTGTGTGTATGCGAATCCACTCTTTTTTCTTCTTTGCAATAAGTCTATAATGAGTTTGCTTATTTAAAACACTCATACCTTAATATATCTTAACAAGGTAAGATATTTGAATCTTATAAAATATATTATTTTTTCAACATGTTTATCTTCTTTGCCACCACTCCATTTATTCTTTCATCAATTGCCTACGAAAACTGCCTCTACTATAGCTGATTTTCCAGATGAAAACAACTTTGGTACAACAATTTTCAGATTGGTGAATTCTGTCGCATGGAAATTCAAGTGTTTATGGGTCGAATATATTTGTCACATAGACATCCACATCATTGTGATTTATGCCAGTATTCATCCATATTGATGTCCACATAATATTAAGGTGGTAGATTTTTTTCAATTTTGATGACGGTTGACTGACAAAATGAATAAAATTAGAATATTTTTATAAAGTAATGAAATTAAAAATTAAGTATTAGAATTCACGAATGAAAATAAAATATTATACAAAAGTCATAAATGTTTGATGCTAGTTAGAGAGAAAATCATTTCTAAAATTTGTAGTCTATTCACTAGAGTTCCACATGTCCTAATTGTGACCCTACCCTTTCCATAACATTTCGTCTCTTCAATTAACTAATTTTCACTTAATATCTTATTTCTGTTTGGAATTAGTCAACCAATGAGCTCATAAGCCTTTTAATTCTTGAATATTAATCTATATCATGGCATTATCAACTACAGATCGCAACAAAATATACATGGTAGAAGAGTAATTATAGACAAAATGCAAGAAGCAGCAGCTTTTGTGTCATTTTGGTAGACAATAGAAATGAAATCCAAATTCAAACAAGTGCAGCAGTTCAGATTTTTTAATTAATTAATATATAAATTAATAAAGTATTAATTTATCAATTAAATGATATCTTAATTAATTAATAAATATTTATGATCCTAAAGATATTAATGAGCCTACCCTTTATAAAACATTACTTCTCTTCTATTAACTAATTTTCACTTCAAGTCTTATTTCTTTTTGGATTTATTTATCCAATGTACTAATAGGCCTTTTAATTATTGAATATTAATTTATATCATGACATTATTAACTGCAGATGGCAACAATACATATATATATACATAGCTGAAGAGTAATTATAGCCAAAATGAAAGAAGCGGCAGCTTTTGTTTCATTATGGTAGACAACAGAAAGAAAATCCAAATTCAAACAAGGGCAGCTGCATACTCAGACTGGCAGATTAAGAGGGAAAAGAAGGAGAAAGACAAGCAACAACTAGGAAGCTGTAGCTGAGGTGCCAAATGCTTCATTTCTTATTTTTCTTGTTTTGTTTCTTGGGCAAAGCCTTATGCCCCATTTCAAGAAAGGGAATTAGCCTGGCTGTTCTTCCCGAGTAAGGTCTCATGGTAGAAGAAGGCATTCACTGACATGCCCCCATCGATGCTAAAAGTCTGCCCTGTTATATAAGAGGATGCTGGTAGGCACAGGAATCCCACCAAGGATGACACTTCC